CTTGAACTTTGTGCCCATATTAATGTAGGCTTCTGATTTAATCATCTGAAAATTCAGTTGTTGATCCGCTCAATTTTGAAGAAAGCGATTTGTTCAAGATCAGCGCTCTTTTGATACTCATTTATGATCTATTGAGTCTATTGAAATTCTCTACGCTTGTTAAGAAAGGTTTCGTCTGCACTTCTCTGGAGTTTCATGACCCCCCGGGATCCGCCCATGATTCAACAAGACGCTGAACAGGTACAACTTGTTGGTTTAGACTTTCTAGTTGATTCCCGCAACCCTAATTCCTCATTCAACAATTGAAATATTTCTGATAAGATGTGTGATTGCGCTGAAATTACGCTATTACAATAAACTCAAACAATATTTGCGGAAAGATCGTAACGCCGAACCAAAAACATTGTTTCCTCAAAAGTTGCACACGTAAATTTTATGGGCTACCATATAACGTAATTATTCCGAAATCACTACAAATATCAGAAGGGCTGTAAATGACTAGCCAGTTGATGAGTTCCGCCTGATTAGCTAGTAAAAGCGTGCGTCTTTCAAGATGAAGAAAATGCTTCGATTTGAATACTTTTTGGTTGGTTCATCGGCTGATCCATCGGACCTTTTATTGGGTGTTTTTGGTTTTAGATTGCCGTCCTCTTTGCGCTCTGCTGCAGTCCAGTGGACGGCAAAAGTTGTGGCTCAAAAAAGATCTACTGCATAAACGACACCAGCTATGAAACATGCGAGAACGTTTTGTGGTGGATTAACTATAGCGATGAAGTGATCACTTGTGATGATGGGAGCGTATGTGATCAAGAAACAGGAGACACGCCGTAAGTGACTCATCGCTGTTGCTTGGTCCAAGTTTCATGGAAATATATTCGACCAATTTTTAGCTCTTTTTGCGGGTATTTTCACATGCAATTTCTCTTTCAGGTGCATAGCAGGTAAGCTGAAATAGGGGAAAATCTACCTACGTCTTAATGATCAGTTTTTGCCATTTTTTCCTCATCAAACCCACGGACCCAAACATAGAACGTTCTTTAGTTGAGTAGGCATTTGAAGAGAAGATTTCATTTTTTTCACTGTTTGCTTCATTCTCCACTGTCTCTCTATCGGTTGAGGCAAATTTTCGTTTATTCTGAGCCTTGAAATTGGTTGTAAAAAACCCCCTTGTGCTTTCAAAAGCTTTTTTCAGCTGTTGCAACTACAACGGTTTTATCGACTTCAACCGAGGCTCCAACTACGACCACTGAAACTCCAACAACAACCACCACGACTCATCCTACAAGTCAGTAGCGTTCAGATGAGGTTTTTTCAAAAATGCTTGGTTTTCTCGGTGCTCAAAGAATGAGTCTAACTTTTTTTCTGTTATACAGCTACAACTACGACTACAGTTGCGACCACCACCATCGCGTCTACCACCACTGTGCGCTCAAGTAAGTTTTCTTCGAAAACTGCGCAGTTTCAAGTTGCAAGCGCAATATTCGCATGTTCCAGACTCATGTGGTTCCAATGGCATTCACTGTTACAACGACACCACTTATAGAAGCTGTATGAGCTTTTTGGGGGTCATTATTTACTCGGGAAGCTACGTGACGTGTGAAGATGGTACAACATGCGAAGAAGACAGCGGCACGACAAAGTGAGCAATTTTAATCACTAGTTATTAGC